TGTGGTACGTGGACCTCTCACTGTTGTGGCCTCTCCCATTGCGGAGCACAGGCTCCGGACACGCAGGCTCAGCGGCCATGGCTCACAGGCCCAGCCACTCTGCGGCATGTAGGATCTTCCTAGACCAGGGCATGAACCCATGTCCCCTGCATCGGCAGGCGGACTCTCAACCGCTGCGCCACCAGGGAAGCCCAGTGTTGCTACCTTTAACTTTGATTTGGGGATCTTCAGTCGCCCACTGAGAATATTATTTTCTCATTTATTAGTCCTGATGCTCAGCATTTTTCTTGGAATTACAGTCTAATGATTGAGTTTGACATTGACTGAATTTGAGCTATTTTAGTGAACCTAAAGTATAAATTTTTCCTTTCTTGCAATCCTTAATTTGTTTAATAAAGTTTTGCTCCCCACATTTTTTGCAACAGGATACAGACTCCTTTGAAGATACAAAAATGTTACGTTGTTTGTTTAGTTTTAGTGATTTTCCAAAATCATTTAAGATTAGGTACAGAATATGCATTAGGACACTGTTCAGTACTTTTTCTGATTTCAGTGTTATAGTTCTGGCTTTATCAAGTAGCCTGTCTTTAAAGATGGAAAAAGATTTATCAGCTAAAGAAAGTGGGAAAAACCTATTTGAGATTTTTATTTAAGTTCTGTTTTAAAACAGGGTGTCTTACATTCCTATAAAAAGTAGCACTGTACCTACCTACTGCAGTTGGTTATTTCTTTGCATAATCTATAGGATTTGTTCTAACTGCTAGATATCCAGAAAGAGTCTTTGAAACCAACTTGGTAGTTAGAACAAAGAAAACTCACTAGGGGAGAAATGTTTAAAAAAAAACAAAAACAGGGCTTCCCTGGTGGCGCAGTGGTTGAGAGTCCGCCTGCCGATGCAGGGGACACGGGTTCATGTCCCGGTCTGGGAAGATCCCACATGCCGCGGAGCGGCTGGGCCCATGAGCCATGGCTGCTAAGCCTGCGTGTCTGGAGCCTGTGCTCTGCAGCGGGAGAGGCCACAACAGTGAGAGGCCCGCGTACTGCAAAAAAAAAAAAAAGAAAATCAATACCCCATCTATTAGAGCTATCATGCTTCTACAGTTTGTTACAGCTGGTACTTGTCGAGCATATGTTCTGAGACCGGGTATTCTTGGACATGAACTATACCAGGGGGAGTGGGGGGAGGCAGACCCCAGGCAGAGCTTCCAGACCTGGAGAAGCAGTGTACACAGCATTAGATTCTAAATGTGGATATGGTTCAGCTGTTTAAAATTTTTCCATGGTTCTTTTTTTAAAATATTTATTTATATATTTATTTGGTTTCGCTGGGTCTTAGTTGTGGCAGGTGGGCTCCTTAGTTGTGGCTCATGGGTTCCTTAGTTGTGGCATGCGAATTCCTAGTTGCAGCATGAATGTGGTATCCAGCTGCCTAACCAGGGATCGAACCCAGGCACCCTGCATTGGGAGCAAAGAGTCTCTTTCACCCTCACGGTTCTTTATGTTATAGAAAATGTTTCCCAGAACCTTTGTCAAACAATAAAATTTTAACTACTTTAACTATAGGCACACATGTATGGCAAATTATAGTAAAGCAAAATTTGTTCCAGTTTGTAGCCAAGAATCCATGCCAAGAGGAAACTGAGGTAGTAAGAAAAACAGTAAATATTAGGATGCTAAGTTGGAGTTAGAAGTTATGAAAAAAATGACATTTTCTTCTATTTATGCTGTTTTTTTTTGGTTTTACCAAACTAATTTTTTTTAAGGTTTAAAAACCACATTAAATTATTGGTATGATATGGTATTATTAGTGTGATACGAATTTATGGTGTTGGTAATAAGGGAAACTGGTGTAGGGTGTACAGGAATGCTCTATACTATCTTCTCAAATTTTCTGTAAATCTAAAACTATTTTGAAGTATATATATATTTTAAAATCCACACTAAATGGAATTTAGAATCTAGAAAAACAAAAAAATTCATCCAAAATTGCACCACTCTAATACTCTATTTTTGTCATTTTGATGTATTCCCTTATACATTTTTTTCATAAGGATAATTATAGAAACTGCAGACAACTTTATATCTTGCTTTTGTTATATAATATTATCTCACAAACATTTCATCCAGTTTGCTACATGGCCTTACCATCCGTCTGAATGGCTGCATGATACTGTCACCTCTGATATTTATTGATAACAGAAATAGATTCGAGGATGTGTGTCTGAGGGCAGGGTGAAAGCGCTCCTGGTAGAAGGAATGCTGTAAGCAAAGGCTCTGAGAAGAGTCAGGGACAAATACTTTGCCTGGAGCTGAAGTATTGGGAGATTGTAGGCAGTGAGACTGGAAGATCTGTTGGATCTGGGGTCCTAGAGCCTTGAATGCCAGAGAGAGGCAGATGGAAAGTATTGGTGGTTTTAAGGGATGGTCCCATGACTGTATCTGGGACCCTGGGAGACTGGAGAGAGGATGAGACCAGGTCTTAGGCCTGTGATTGGGAGAGGGATGCTACTAACAATATCAATAGAGAATTCAGGAGGACGATAAGATTTGTGTGTTTTTAGCATTGAGAGTTGTTTGTTTGTTTGTGGGCTGTGGAAAAAGGAGATAATGGTCTATAGAGTTTGGGGTATGTGAGATGTGTGATAGGAAGGGCCGCATTGGGGGTTGGTTTAGGATTCCTGCATCAGGAGGTTACACTTGAAGCCCAAGGGGAGGATGGGACTGTCGATGAGAGAGTCCTTGTGGAAAAGCAGAGGGGAGAGCCCAGGATGGAGCCTTGAAGAACAATCTGGAGGCCAGAGGAATAAAAGGAGCTCAGAGGCAGACAGAGGAGTGGCCAGAGAAGAACAGTCAGTGGTCGAGGCATCTGTACTTTCCTTTGCAGCACTTTCCCAGTTTACAGTTACATGTTTGCTGATGGCTTCATTGTCTCTCCCCACGAGGGCAGGGACTGCTGTGTTTTTTGGCTTGTAAGTGTATCCTCCATCCCTAGCACATAGTAAAGTCTCAATAAATACATGTTGAATAAAGAGAGAAAAAGGCCAGGATTGGGCATTGCTTCACGTGCCAAGGAAAGGGCCGTCAACATCATCCTGTGGTCAAGGGTGAGACCTACAAAGACACCTTTGGATTTGTCCTTTCAGATGTTACTGGGACCTTTCAGGAAGGAACTCGATCATAGGGACAAAAACATAATTGCAAAAGGCTGAAGGAGTGAGTGGGTGATAAGAAAGTTTATGTAGTTCTGTCAAATTCGTTAAGGTAGCAAGGAAAAAGTAGTAAACTTTTATTTGAAGGTGTTGGAAGATACAGGAAAAGCTTCTTTTTTTAAGTTTGGGGAACAACAGATTTTAAAGGATAAGTTATCACCAGGAGTGGAGAGATTAAAAATTAAGAGGGAGAAGAAAGAGAAGTGGAATAATTAATGGGATTTGTTTTCCCTGTGGAAGGTAGAGAGGATTAATTTTCTTAGCAACTGTTTATTGATAACATCCTTAGCAATAACTTGTGGAGAAGACACAGCACATTGCTTTCCCTCAAGGAATTTGTAATCTGGAAGGTGAGATATATGTGCCCCTATGTTAGATAAGTAAAGTTATCAAAGGTACAGAGAGATGAGTTAGCATTTTAAAAGTAAGAACCTCAACTCTTTTTCAGAGGCAAGACTAGAAGAAGGGGAAAGATAGAAACTTCTTTTTTAGATGTAAAGGCAAGAAGTTGAGTTAGTTGATGTCATATTTGAATTGTGCCTTGAATGATGACATTTGGATGGGGCAGGAAGGGAAGAAATCCATCGAAGTGGAATTGACTATACACACTACTATAATTAAAATAGATAATCAACAAGGACCTACTGTATAGTGCAGGGAACTCTGCTCAGTATTCTGTAATAACCTAAATGGGAAAAGAATTTGAAAAAGAACAGATACATGTATATGTATAACTGAATCATTTTGCTGTACACCTGAAACTAACACAACACTGTTAATCAACTATACTCCAATATAAAATAAAAATTTT